ACCAGTTTGAACTGGTTAGGCTAGCTAGGCTGTCTAGACTGTGAATGAATGCGTGACGTCATAATCACATTCTTTTGAGTCGCTGCCAAGTATTTTTTACCTGTGTACATAAAAAAAAGTAGTCGCACCGTAGAGTGTAAAACACTATATTTTTAGGGGCTATGTATTGAAAACCCCACCTTAGTCCCCCAATAGGGTTAAGAGGGTTAAGGGGCTAAGGGGGGTTAGGGTTAGGGATAGGGTTAAGGGGGCTAAGGGTTTAGGGTTAGGGTTAAGGGGACTAGGGATTAGGGCTAGGGTTAAGGGGACTAGGGTTAAGGGAATTAGGGTTAGGGTTAGGGGGCTAGGGTTAGAGGGGCTAGGGTTAGGGTTAAGGGGTTAGGGGGTTAGGATTGCACTCTGTTGACCCACCCAGTGGCTCAGCCAATCAGAATCCACCATTTTTTTTACCTCATTTGCATAAAAAGTGCACTCAGTTGACCTCGCTATCCAGCCTGCTTCCGGCTAGGACACTTCAGGTTAAACCACTTCCGCTTCTGCTAGACCAAATAGGGTCCAGCTAGGCCACTTTCGCTTACGCTACCCCACTTCCGCCTAGGCCACTTCCGCCCACTTCCGGTTAAACCACTTCCTGTTATGACGTCAATTCCGGCCACTTCCGGTTAAACCACTTCCGGTTATGACGTCACTTCCGCCTTAGCTAGACCCTTTATACTACTTTCGTATTCTTACTAAATCAGTTTTACTGTATTAATTATATATCCTTTATAATCATACGATAATCATATGCTTGTTTACAACATGTACATGTTCTGTCGACCCTTATTTAAAAAATCAGATTTACATGACCAAACATAATCCATAAATAATTCTTGCTTCATGTCCTATAAAAAAAAATTGATTTTAAATTAACTTTCAAAGTTGCCTTTGAAATATCAAAGTATCTTTATTGATTACTGTTTATATCTAACTTTAGAACGTGGTGTCTCTTTGTGCGGTGATTATCGTAGTTACGTCAATAACGTCAAGACGTTATGCTGCGGGATAAAATGTATCATTTCTTTAAACGCACTAAAAAAGGTCTTATAGATAGAGTAGAGCTATAAAATTTTGTATTTTGTATATTCTACCTATTATTTATCAATTTCCGCAAAAAAAGTCAAAATGTATAAAAATTGTCATAAGCACCCTTTTCTCATGGGCGCATGTATGTTGAAAGCCCAGTATGATATAGTTTATTTCTCTGTCAGTAAGGGAGAATCTAATGTAAGCTGGGCTTACAGCGACTAGAGCTGTTGAAACTGCGTAAATGATTCTGGACACACTTGCTCTACTAGTACCATGAAGAGCTGCGCACACAGTTCCCACTTGCATAAAATCGAAGAGGTACCATAACTTGCAGTGAAGTTGCTAAGGCATGATATCCGTTGGTTGGGTGTTCTATACGATCACTGTGTTCATTACATATATCAAAAGATAACCTGTCGTGGTAAACGAAATTTGTCTAAGATGTCACATATAATCTAGTGGGTTCTTTCTGTCCCCGAAAACACGCTCACGCCTGATGAATTGCCTACTTCTCATCAAAACATAAGCCGCTGCCATGTTTAGTATAGACGTAAGACAAGTATCTGGATGTCGTAAATTTTGAACAATCTTATCATAAGATAAACCACTTTTGTGAAACAGCTATGATAAAACTTAAGACAAATTTTGGTCTTAAGACAGATTTCTGTCATAACATAGCTTTGTGAAACTGGTCCCAACTTTATTTTCCTATAATAAGTGTTCAAGAGAAGTTCAAGAGAACAGCAACATATTTACAAGAACATTTGGGAGAAACCTGATAAAGGTATGCTTATTTGTATTATATAAGACGAATTCCTAATTTCAACAATGGTGAATTATTATGTCAACCCGAGATTCCTTTGTCGTTAACTTAACGCCCATTAATTTGACTTGACATTTAGCGTGATTTGAGCTGGTCTCAATTCCACACTAAGCACGTCCTATTTTGCCATATTTATTTTTTCTCAGCTGGTAGAGCATTTGACTGGAGATGCAGGAGTATCGGGTTTGATTCCCGGTCCAGCCACACATTTTCTCCTTTCCTGTTACAAAACTTAATTAAGATCCAATTGCAATTACGTACACGTGATGTTATATTTGAATGAATTAAATGATTAATATGTTATTTTAATGTTATTTTCTCTGGTAATGCAAATTTTCCTGGTATAAATATGATACATTTACTCGTGCGTTTCAGACTAGTGATTTGATTATTTGAAACCGTTCTCTTAACAAAAGTGCAACTGACAAGCTGTTTGATTATTGAAATATTCAGTGTGCAGTATTATATGGAAAACCTGGATTCAACTAGTGGCTAGTGCCATAAAGTAAGATTTATTCATCTATCTTAAATTTACCCACGTTGCCTTGTTTGTTGCTCGCTTATTAGATAATGATGTAACTCTTCTGTGTTTATAAACAGAGAGGACCGTCGAAGGTGCCAGATTTACCGTTACACCGATTATTTAGATTACGGAGCATTTAATTCGTAGTGAAATGACCCAGAAGGTGCTATTTAATAACCCTTCCAAGTTACAGAAGGTGAATATTTATTTGTTATAGTTGCACATTCTCCACTTAACCTTATATATTTGTTTACATTAGCAACGTCTGCTACCGCCCCTTCTTTTTCATATCGTTGCATTAAGGCTGCAAACATGGATTATGGATGAAAGATCGCATTTGGTGGATGGTAACAATGAAAAAAACACAGGTAAGCACTACTGTGCGTTATGACACTTAATTTATGTCCTAAGTGTCGAGAACAACATATCCCAAACGAATGTAAACAACACATTCAGTCCTTGTGAAACGGCTTGGTTCTACTTCCGCTTTCAATCAAAGCTAATAGATTATAAATAAATTGGCATAAACTTTTATACAACTTTAATGCATAAAGGTATATTTATAAAATTTACAACATATAAAAAGATTGTTTTAATTTTGTTGTCAAGCATACATTTATTACAGTTTTCTAATTATTCACCGAAATAATATGGGAATAACGTACGACATTTTATAACATATGTTCAAGATGACGTCCCTTTGCCTTTAACATTGTTTGAACACGATTTCTGAAGTTGTTCACCACAGCTTTACAGGTATCAACAGAGATTGATCTTATTTCTCGTGTTATTGGTGCCTTTAGTTCCTCTGTTCTTTGTGGGGAATCAGAATACTCTCTGTCTTTTAAAAAGCCCCACAAGAAGAAATCAAGTGGGTTCAGATCAGGGGAGTGGGGTGGCAAAACATTTGCAGTACGATAAGAAATTAATTGATCACCAAACGTGTTGTCAAGCCACTGGAGAACACAGCCTGCAGTGTGTGGTGCAGCGCCGTCCTGTTGAAACCATACATTGTCCAAATTTACAAATTTTCGTCTCCAAGAGCTGGTAGAAATTTAGTTTTCATCAACTTTAAGTACCGATCTGAATTTACTGTCACTGCATCTCCTTCGCTGTCCTTAAAGAAAAAAGGGCCAATTATTCCACTTGAACTTAATGCAGCCCACACAGTTACTTTCTCACATTTAAGAGGTTTCTCCACAAAAATTGGATTTCTCCGAGCCCCAGAATCTGTTTATTTACAACATTGCTAATATGGAGGTGGGCCTCGTAGGAAAACCATATGGCATGTGTTAGCTTCCCAGAGTCGTGTCTGTTTAAAATCCAATGGGCGAATTCCAAACGACTTCTAATGTCTGTCTTTTTTAAATGTTGCATAACACTCATCTTGTACGGGATCAATTTTAAGTCAAATTTCAGTATTCTGTGAACACTAGATTTACTAACTGTGCCATTTAGTTCATGTACTACCCGTCTTACTAATTTTTACTGAGTTTCAGCGATAACTATATCAATTTCATCAATGTTCTCTTTTGTACGGACACTCCTTGGTCTCCCAATACCAGAATTGTGTCTTCTGTCATGTATATATTGCCGTTAGCTTCAAGCTTCCTAACAAGTCTGTGGAATAGCATTCTGTTAAGCACTTTCATTCCAGGGTGTTGTTTTTTCATGGTCCTAATGACTGAAGTAGCAGATTTACACTTTCTACAAACTGTTCACCTGAAGGTTCATCTTAAAATGTGATTACATCATTATGGTGTCATAATTACTTGAATCTTTAACAGAATTTCCCGAAATTTTGACAGATAAAGTTTTTAGCAAGATGCTAGAATTTGACAAAATATCTTTTTAATAGCTTTTGGTTTCTATAGATATGGATGATTAAAAGGGTAACATATGTTTTTGGACACCCTGTACACATATATATCTACACTCCGTAGTAATGTGTAAATATCAACGCTAAGATAAAACAATAATCATAAGTATTAACTATGGTTTGCACAAGGTATTCATAACATTATGCCCCTTCTTTCTGATCATTTGTCCTCAAATTGAAATACATAAGAAGGCATGGATGGATAGAGACACGGTGTTTATGGAAACAGTTGGTATGGAAAAGCAAAGTATGATTATGTACAATGTATGAAAATGAAAAGATAAACAATAATGTGTACTTCAACATATAACAATAAAATAGCTAACAATTAAATACAATACATACCTTCTACAAGTTAATAAGATTATCAACAGCAATATCGCTTAACATCCACATAATGCCAATGAATTCCATAATGTCACAAGATACAAAACAATATCAATAGTTTTTTTTTCATTAAGAGCAGCAATTTTCATTTGTAGCAGGTTCTCAAGCTCCTAGAGACAAAAGAACTGTGCTTCCCTCTGCAGGCAGAACAGAAGGGAAAGATGTGGCAGCTCAACTCCATGACGAAGGTAGTTCAGAATTAAAATAAACAGTTTTGGTCCACGGTCGATAAAGTAGGTGTATATGTTATCCATCACATATGGTTTCAGGGGGGATGATGGAAGGATCATCCTAGAAAATGGGAGCTTGGGCCGGCCTGCATTGTAGGCGCACTGGTCTCGAATTTAGTTCCACCGACATTCAGATCGATTTGCTGTTTGCGAGATTGGGCCATACCCTGGAGTCGAATCAGTTCCTTGAGTGTTGGAGAATAGGCCGGGGCTTCAGGACAGTTAACAGTATACTGATTGGACGGGAAGAGGTCCAGTTCCAAAGGGTTCACATGGACAGACAAGGCTGTCGAAGACTCGGATGATGACGAGGAAGCTGATAAAGAGGATCTAGAGGAATGTCTTTGCCCGGCTGTAAGTTAGCTGGTGCAAAGGATGGTATGGTCAAACCTGGTGCACAAGATGGTAAGGTCACAGAGGGCGCCAGTGGGGGAATGGGGACAACTAGGGCTGTATCAATATACCGATATACCGGTATATATCGATATTTTGCTACCTGGCAATAACCGATACAGAAGCCAGCCGGTATTTCGATACGAGTTGAGTTCGGAATGCAGCTTAAAACGTCGGGATCGGTGTTCTAAAATTAGCTTTAGCAATGGCGGCGAAGAAAAGTAAAGTTTGGAACTACTTCGCAAAAAAGAAAAATGATAACTTTGCAACTTGTAATATCTGCAAGGATTGTAATATCTGCAAGGATATGGTTGCAGCATCTGGAGGAACGACTAACCTTAGTGTTCACCTATTACGCCACCATAAAATTAATTTACAACATCAAATTCGGCCGCGTGACAGAAATAATAGTGAACCCTCGTGTAGCACAAGTAAGACTATCGGTGGAGGCGATGAACCCTCATCTAACACTAGCAAAACCGTTGGTGGAGGCGATAAAGAATCTTCTTCTGGGCGTTTTGGTAAGACAAATTACTCATATGTATACATAAGCGTTATAAATAAAAGCGTTCTTTAACTTGCTAGCTTTTATTTCATAAAGATGATCACTCAAAAATCCATTAATTTTCATAGTTTCGACTGTTAACCCATGGAGCATTGCTGAAAAAAGTAAACTATCTTCCATGAAGTCCAATGAAATTACCAATGCTATTCTAGCATACATAGTACATGATCTACGACCTCTGAACACCATTGAAAGTCCTGTATTTAGGTAAGTTTTTTATGCAACTGTTCTTGAATTTATAAGCAGCCTAAACAGTTAAAAGCAAACCAATCTCTCTCTGCATAATTTTTTATTTTTTGTTTAATATAGAAACATGATTAAAGCCATGGAACCCAGGTATCAGCCCCGTAACCGACAAAGACTCAGCGAACAAGTCATTCCAGCATTATTTGAAACAGAGAAAGCAAAACTTTTTCAAGAATTACAGAGCTCTCAAGCAGTCTCCCTCACAACAGATGCCTGGACATCTAGATCTGCAGAATCATACTTGACAATAACTTGTCATTTTGTGAATAAAGACTGGGAAATGTGTTCCAGAATATTACAAACAGAAAAACTTCATGGGTCACACACTGGAGAGAGAGTTGGATATGAACTTAAAACCTGTATGACTAATTGGGCTATTCAGAACAAAGTTAATGTAATGACTGTTGACAACGCTTCAAATATGACGGTTGCCATAGAGGTAACAGGTGCACAAAAATTGGGATGCCTAGCCCACACTCTAAATCTTGCCTCAAATAAAGCAATGTCTATTCAAGCTTTGCAAAGAGTTCTTGCAAAAGTGAGATCAGTTGTCACCTATTTTCATAAAAGTAACATTGCCACTGAGGTTTTAAAAGAGAAACAAATTGCCCTGCAGTTACCCCAACACAAACTTATTATTGAATGCAAGACCCGCTGGAATTCCACTTACCAAATGATTCAGAGGTTTTTAATTCAGAGGCCTGCGGTGCTTGCGGCACTTCTTGATGAAAGGATCAAAAAGTCTAAAGCATTAAGTGGAATGACAGATCATGAAGTTCAAATTTGTGAAGACTTTGTCTCTGTCATGGAGGTGATGTTAACAGCTACATTAGTTCTTTGTGAGGAGAAGACTCCTACCTCTGGACTGATTTTGCCCCTGCTGGGAAAACTATTGCATCATTTTGAGAGAAAGGAAGGGGATTCTGATTTCATATTAACATTGAAAAATGCTGTTGGACAGAATCTTGCAACACGATATACTGACAATAATGTGCGAATGTTTTTAGAGGAATCCAGTGCTTTGGATCCACGAACCAAAGGCAAGCCATGTATTCAAGCAGAAACTTGGGAAAGACTGGAAGAAAAGTTGTCTGTGATGGACTTAAATGTTAATGCAATCAAGACAGAGGCAGATGCTAGACCAGTGAGACCAGTCAACATTCCACAAGTAAATCACATTCCTCTGCCAGCACTTCCAACCATTCTAGATCACCTCAGGTCTGGTAGTTCAACTGAGGATGATTCAGATAATGAGGTTAATTTAATTTGTAATTTTAGCATTTGATTAATAATTTAATTCAGATTTTCAATTGCTAATACATTGTCAATTTATCATGATTCAATATTAATAATTAAAGTTTGATTTAATACAAATGATTGTTGGTTCTAAAAATCTTGAATGTCATTTATTAAAAATATTAAAAAAAAAAACATGTATGTAGAGAATCTAAAATAGTATGTAAATGGATTCTAAAAATAAGATAGTTTTGTAAAAAAAAAATATATATATATATATATATATAAAATTATTAGCATCAATAGTTCATAAGTTCAACACTTATTGTCATGAGATATCCCATTCTCTATTCCTTTTCAGATTTCAAAACCTAGTGAACAAAAAGTACCAAGAACTGCTTTGGAGTCTTTGTTTGGGGATGATGAGGTTTTAGTCACAGGTGAAGAATTCATAACTCCTGCTGAATTAGCAAGAAAAGAGGTAGAAAGCTACAAGGGACATAAACCAGCCTCGATGAAAGAAAACCCCTTAGCATGGTGGAAGGAAAATGAAGTTTATTTTCCAAAACTGGCCAGGCTTGCTCGCACATACTTTTGTGTACAGGCAACATCTGTTGCCTCAGAGAGAGTGTTTAGTACTACAGGAGACATTGTTTCTGCAACGAGAGCCTGTTTGAGTCCAGAACGTGTTAATGAATTGGTCTTTTTGAAGAAAAATATGAAATTTTAAAATGTTGACTGTTAATTTTTCATGATATGAATACTGATCTAGTTATCTTTTTTTTTTATTTTCTGCTTCTTTTTCTCTTGGATCATGGACTCAAATAGGTCCGTGTTGTTATTTTTTGAAATAAACTGTAAAAAAAATCAATTGTGTCTTTGTTTATTACAGATTTTCTAGAAAGTAAGACTAAATTAAGAATAGGTACAATATATCGGATATCGGATTTAAATGTATCGTATCGTATCGAAATCTTGGCACCAATACACAGCCCTAGGGACAACTGGTGCTGGTGGTGGAATGAGCACAGCCGGTGCAGATGGTGGCGTGGGCACAGCTGGTGCAGATAGTGGAATGTATAGCCTCTGGATCTTTGCGGGCGACAGAAATGGATCTGGAGATATGGGCTCTGTGATTGGCTAGTAGGTCTGAAGGTTCAGGTTTTTCTGTTTAAGAGGTTTCTTGGATGTGCTGACTTGTTTTTTCATGTGCGGTTTGACGCGATTCTCCTTTGAACGTTTGTTCTTTTCCTCAGGGTTGATGAGGCATGGCATCCGGTTAATCAGGGAGATAACTTTTTTTCTTAAAAATGGCAAATTTCTGCTCGTCAGGTGAAGTGAACTGTCGCGTCTTACGATTATCGGGGGAGAAGGATGATCCAGGACACTATGACTTGTGATTGTTTGGAGAGTTGTACACTTGCTTACACTCGCTACATAGCCACTGTGTTGCTCAATCATATGACGCTCACATTGGTAGCGTTCTTCAAATTCAAAGTCGGTACAGATATCACGCTTGAACATGCAAATATTCTGGAAATGAAAGGTATGAAACTGGTAAGTAAACATGTACAGGTCAAGATACATTTCTATAAATGTATATATTCATTTAATCAAATGGTAATTTTGAAATAGGATTACTTTTAACAGAAATACTTTGGTGATGGTTATAAGCTTTTTGTATCAACTATAGGTGAAATGAATGAAGAATGAAAATAAAAACTTAACGACAGAGAAATCCAGCTATGGTTTGAACCAGGTGGGAACACTATCTCCCAGGTAAGGTTTTAATTTGTCGTGGTGTACAACTTTTGCTTTTGAGTGGGGTGACCTTTGGATTCTGAAAAGAATATAATTTTTATGGGTAACAAGGAAAGGACAAACCCAGGGTCTCTGGAGTTTTTTGCATCTCTTTTTGGTTCTAGTAGGGTTATATAACCACACAGTATCCCCTTTTTTATCAATGTTGGCATTACTTTGGTTGTCATATCTCCTTTTCATAGCTTTGGTAATATTTTAGATAGGGTCAACTGGTCATTGGACACCTTCTCCAGCACCAGGTGTGATTTCAACCTCATTCATGGTAGAATGGATATCATCACTTGGTTTAAAGCACACTTCATTTGACTCACTGGAAATATCCATTGTTAAATGATTTGGGATAATAAAATGGTTATAAAAATATTCTTGTGAAACTTAAGTTTTCTTTGTCAACTGCATGGTACAGAAAAAATCCCACTTCTGACACCAATGTAACGAAAAAAAAATGCCGTGCTAAAATATTTGTATTAAAACCCGGTAAAAATAATTCTTACAAAATTTGTTATAATAATACGTAGGCTCTGTACCTTTAGTCAACAAAACAAGAGAAAGTCTTTGTATAAAAGAAACATATGATTTATTGTATAAAAGTACATGATAAAATTTGGAACCTCCAGGATACTTTTGGAAGGTGTAAAGATAGAAGATGCACCACTCTGGAAGCGAAAGTGCAACGATATGGAAATGAAGGGGCGGTAGCAGACATTGCTAATGTAATCAAATATATAAGGGAAACTCTGTTAACTGGAGAATGTGCAACTATAACAAATAGATATTCACCTTCTGTATCTTGGAAGGGTTATTAGATAGCACCTTCTGGGCCATTTCATAATGGGTTAAATGCTCCGTATTGTATAAAAATGAAGAGTTTCGCTATTGTAGTTTTCATACAAAAAAACCACAGTCGGCCCCCTTAAAATACATTTTATGTTCCCATTTATTTTTACTGACTGGTAATTGCTTGGATCTAGTTTTGCCAACCTTATTAAAAAAATATTTCTGATACCATCAAAAATATTTTAAAGAATATATATTTACCTTGCCCATGATGATTTCCTTCACATCTCCTGCCTCAAAATGTTATGCAGCACGATCTAGGCGACGGAAGTTGTAAACTGCTCGGCCTTGTACCTGGCGAACGATTATAATGCGGAGGATCGCCGAAAATGGCGGATCAGGAATCGCTACTGCGTCTAACGGTACATATTGTGCTTCGGCAAAATGGGGACATCTATAGGACCACCATCGAAATGAATATTAAGATTTAAGATGAGGTTGTTCATTTCTTCTTTTGTCTTATTTTTTTTAAAGACCACTCCAAACTCTTCTGCTACCCGCTGTAACGACTTTATTTTTTGCTTTTTCAAACTTTCGCGGGTCGCCATCTTACTCTGTGTAAACGTTGCCATGAGGCTTTGCCTGAAATTATTTACGTAAACACAGTAATATTATTGGGAGAAAAAAAATAGTCTCAATAAAAAGAAAAGTGAAATTATTTACGAAATCTTACTTAATGATCTACTGCAAAATTTTTATTCGTGTTGATGTCAAAGTACATGTGAATCTTTCCTACTCTTCTATTTTGCCTAGGTATTATGTGCATGCATGCATATTATCTTAACCCCTTACATGGCATATAGCATTTCTTACGCATCTAACTTGAAAAACGAGTAAAGTGTGAACAAACGTTCATAACTTTGTTAATACTGCAAATATCATCGTAAATCTTGCACTGTTGGAAAGTGAAAATAATTACGATAAAATGATATATGAGTTGCGTCAAGCGAAAAGGGACCTTCGTGACATAAACGTAATTACGTCACAATAGCGCTTCAAAGACGTGACGTCTAGTCTGCGCGTTTGCCGATGAAAAAAAAATTATACGATAAAGAAAAACAGAAATATATTTGCGTAATACAATTTTTTTTTTAAAATAGACACGCCTAAAACTGTCTTGAAAAAAATGTTCAATATCATCAATTTAACGGTTTTCCTAGTAATTTTTTTCAAAAAATTATATAAACTATTTTAATTTTTGATTGTTTATGAATGGTTTAATTTATTCGTTCGCTGTCAAAAATGTTCATCAACAAATCACATAGACACGCCTAAAACTGTCTTGAAAAAAATGTTCAATATCGTCAATTTAACGGTTTACTAGTAATTTTTTTCAAATAAGTATATAAACTATTTTAATTTTTGATTGTTTATGAATGGTTTAATTTATTCGTTAGCTGTCAAAAATGTTCATCAACAAATCAATGTACGTGCATAGGCTCTGAAAAAAATCGCTTCTTTTGCCTTTCCGACTGAGCTCCAGTCTCTGCAGATAAGCAGGTGGTCCCTAGCCTTTATTTCAATGTTTTGTATTTTTCTCTTTTGGATTTTTTTTTTTTTTTGGGGGGGGGGGATATGTAACACATTCCAGATTGTTTCCCCGTTAGACAGAGAGGCCCGAGAATTGGCGACTCAGTGCCCAAAGTTTATCATCAGAGATTAAAAATTCGAATCAAGTTCACTGATTCTCGCATGGTTGAAAAAGCATTTTGTAAATTTAAAAAATATGAATGCAGCAGCTAAGAAACTTTGTCTGTATAGCCATGTCATAAAGTATGAAGCGGCAAAAGCCATACGGACTTCCGTACATGTATTTACTCAAAATTAACACGTCACCTTCGGCGCAACAAAGGTTTGAAAATTTAACTGTATGACGCAATAAGATGTGAAGATATTAACAGAGGGGTCATTTTCAAAACTAATTTGTGGTCTTGTTTTCATTGCCTAAATTAATTGCAATAAATTAAAACTAAACACGGTAACTTAAGGTAAGCTGATGTTGTTGAAGTCGAAAATTAAGAGCGAAATAGGTCATGTATTGAATAAGACGCATGTAGGTCATTAGTTTTATTTTCTGATTACTGATCTTATTTCAGGCATAAACAGTAATTCCGGACTATAAATATGAGCACATCTTGAGTTTGTAATCTTACATAATATTGTAATTAAAAGGTTTGATTACCCCCCCCCCCCCCCCCTGTTTTTGGATGTGCTCGTTTGAAGACTTTCAAGGATAAATTCCGATTTTTTATTTCTTTCTTCTCTCTTTTTTAATTAATTTATTTTTCGTTTCGATTTCGCTTGTTCATTTTCGTTTTCACGTATTTATTTTACTACTAATTTCTTCTTTTTTTTTTAGTTCGACCATAACCACTTTTAAAACACTGGTAGATACACCATATCCCAACCCCACCCCTCCTTCTAAAAAAAACATCGTTCATATATTTGATCAATGAATGAAGTACCGAATCATTGTCTTAAAATCCATATCATCAGAAAAGTGTTGTAGATTTGTTTTTCAAACCTCGATAGTTCCGTATTCTTTCTAAATTAAAGATGATATTTGCATAGTATCAAGATAATCTGATATCTGGGAAGCTGTTCACCCTCTTCTCAATTCACACTACGATTGTAAAATCAATGCTTATATATTTACGAACTCTTCTTTTTGTGAACTCTTTATATTATTGTCTGAGGACTCACTTTTTTATCTCTGTAAAAAAAACCTTTTATAAATCCCTTTCCTACAAATAAAGTTGTTTTCTATACTTGTCTGTTTACTGCATATGATTTAATTTTTTCAATCAGGAATAAAAGAAATTTTGACAATTTTATTTCAAAAATTACCCATCCTATAATATCATGATTGTGACACGATAGCAGTGTTTTTCTTTGACGTTTACTGTTCTGTATTAGCAATACAGAATACAGAACGGGACTGTGGTGGGCGGAGCTACTTTCCGTTCTGTATTAGCCCTGTAAACAGTATTGTATTTGCCAGCTATTCTGTATCTAAAATACAGCACGGTCTAAAAATAAATCTGATTCAATTTAGCAAAAGCAAGTACAAATAGTAAATGCTGATGTTTTCCTATTATAAATTTTGGAGAAATACCCAGTATTTTCCTGAGAATGTAAAATGTCAAAATTTCTCAATCACTTTTTAAAAACTTATTCCACACAGAATCTACACGTACGTAATTTCGATCCAAAGTAAAAGGTAAATTTGCAATAACGGAAAACATCCTCTGTATGTAATTTTGATCCAAACGAAACGGAAAATTCGCAATGACGGAAAACATTCACTCTCCTCGTGCAAAATCATTCTAGTCCATTTTTTCCGCGTTTTTATTTTTTAAAATCCTTCTCGCTGACGACAGCCACACGTCTCTTTCACTTCGTTTTCACTGTCGCAATTCCATTTGAAAATAAAACTCCGTGACATCAAAGTCCATCGAAGAGTTTTCTGTAAATCCTGTTTTTGTT